AGGCACCCAGTTTAGATTAGTGCAAGCCAGTTCCTGGGGCTCTCTCGTGTGTTACTAACACAGACATCTGACCTGCACCTCGAGAAAGACAACTGTGAAAAAGAGAAAAAGACGATTAGTACCGATGGCCATGGCAACGGACTCTCCTGCTACTTATATCTGGATTTAAACTCCCCTCTCTTGGAAATTGCTCTATTAATCATGGAGGATATTCGCTAATTACAGCTGGAGGCTTAACACGGTTATTTCAGAAATCAGCCGTGCCAGAGACTGGCTGGCTGGACATCAAACCGATTCCTTGTCCATCCTGGGCGAAGCTCCACTTCCCGGGCCTGCCTTGTAGTCAGGTGACCTGGGAGGGTTGGAGCCAGCGGAAGGTCAATGGAAGTCATGTCACAGAACCTTCCGGCGTGATTCTCCATGCTCTGCCCCCTCCGCCAGCTGGATGTGATTTTGTGTTAAATGTGTGAGAGCCTCGATGGGGCAGGAACTTGGGCCCCATGCGGATAAATGCTCCCGGGAGAGACTTGTGTGCCATTCAGAGTTTTCCATGGATGAGAAATACACTTCTTTTTATTTTTAAAAAAATATATTTTATTGTTTTTTTACAGAGAGGAAGGGAGAGGGACAGATAGTTAGAAACATCGATGAGAGAGAACATCCATCAGCTGCCTCCTGTACACCCTCTACTGGGGATGTGCCCGCAACCAAGGTACATGCCCTTGACCGGAATCGAACTCGGGACCCTTCAGTCCATAGGCCGATGCTCTATCCGTTGAGCCAAACCGACCAGGGCAAGAAATACACTTCTATAGTTATGTGCCAGGACAGGTCTGTATTTATTTGTTGTAGCAGCTAGTGCTATGGTAATGGATATGGTCCCATTTATGGTAGAGTTATTTTAGCTGGCTGACCACTCGCTATGTGTTAGATACTACTGATTACTAGTATTTCATCACATTTAATTCTCTTAATAAGCGGTTGAAGTGGTTGTAACTGTCATTTCACACATGAGGAGGAAATTAAGGTTTAGAAAAGTTAAGCAACTTGCCTGAGACATAAATTCTGTTGAGGTGGGATTTGAACTCAGGTCTGCAAGTCTCCAAAGTGTGTTCATTACCTTCCCAATAAGCCATCCAAGAGGAAAGAACTATGTAAACTGCTCAGAGAGCAGGGGTAGATGTATCTGTCCATTTGTTCATTCATTTTTTCAACAAATACGTATCTCATGCGTGCTATGTGCCAGGCCCTAGACACTGGCCACAAGATGTCCTTTGTAATAGGACAGGAGCAGTAGCTTAATTTTTGTGACCTGATGTCCTGAAATTCTAAATGTTCCTTCTAGTTTAAGTGACCCCCCAACAAATGGTGGAACAGAAATAAGCTCTCACTATCTCATTTACTCATTTCTAGCCGAGAAGAGGGAATACCTTTCTTACGACGCATAACTTTCTACTACTGAAAGATGTTAGTCTTAAGAAGATCTGGCTTAATAAAGAATGAGCCCTAGCCAGTTTGGCTCAGTGGATAGAGCATTGTCCTGCGGACTGAAGGGTCCCAGGTTCAATTCCAGTCAAGGGCATGTACCTCAGTTGCGGGCTCCATCCCAGCCTGGGCCCTGGTCCGGGTGCGTGCAGGAGCAACCAATTGATGTGTTTCTCTCACATCGATATTTCTGTCTTTCCCTCTCTTTTCCACTCTCTCTAAAAATCAATGGAAAAATATCCTCAGATGAGGATTAAAAGAAAAAAAAGAGAATGAGGGTGTTTTCTCCAAAATTTAGGAGGGACGGTCTCATGGATGGACATGCTGCTCTTCCCCATTTTATTAGGGTGTGATGACAACGAAGAGGAGAAAGTCAGCACACATTCGGTATGAGGTGCCATCACGCCACAACTGGCAGATTCGGCCAATTCACGATGGCACCGTCTGAGAGAGAGGATGATGTTGTTTAAATAAGTCATAGCTCTGCCCTGTTCAGTGTGCCTCAGTTGGTTGGAGCATCGTCCCATATCAAGGGGTCTCGGGTTCGATTCCCGGTCAGGGCACATGCCTAGTGGTGGGTTCCATCCCTGGTTGGGGCGCCTGCAGAAGGCAACCGATCGATGTTCTTCTCTCACATTGATGTTTCTCTCTCTCTCCCTCCCTTCCTCTAAGATCAATAAAAAAAAGTAGTTCTATAATAAATAATAATTCTGTAATAAAGACTAACATGCCTGTATTATAGAAGTTGATGACATTACTACAATATAAGAGCAAAGTAGAGTAGAAATAAAAGTTTATCATTTTTCAAATACCCTACATGAAGTCTAGAGTACATACGCCATCGTAGTTTATACAATACTTAATTTTAGGGTTTAATCCAGCTGAGATTTAATACAATCTGATGGGCCTATGCAGGGTACTTTGAGGCCGTATGGCTCATCAGACAAATTTGGCTTTAACAAATATATTGGTTAAAATTGGAAACAAATGAAAATTGCAATCGATAAGATAGATCTAGTAATTCAGAGTCGCACACCTCTCAAAGTCAAATATTCAAAAGCTTTCCAGAGCACTGCCCCCCTTTTCAGTGCTGGTGTCATAAGGAACTATTTTCTTTAAAAATAAAAAGTGGGTTGAGTTACTGTGGAATAAAAATCTGACCCATTTTTTGTCGTTTACAGCAAGAAATCTGTAACTGAATTATTTTGCCAATAGGGACTGTCCGAGTTCCGATAATTATGGGAGTAAATTATGTGTATTTTCCACACAGACACACTGAATAAATTAGGATACGGTCTTTTACTTTTCGGTTTACTTATCAGTCCACGATGTGCTGGGAAATCCGGGAAAAGGAAAAAAGCAGCAATTGAGGACGTTTCTCTCGGGCAAATTGTGTATCTTAAAATGACAAAATCTGTTCTAGAATGGTCAGGGAAACGTTACCCTTACAAATGGAGAACATTGACTTTAAAAAAAAAACACACCACACCGTTTCTTTCTAAAAAATATATATTTTATTGATTTTTTACAGAGAAGAAGGGAGAAGGATAGAGAGTCAGAAACATAGATGAGAGAGAAACATCGATCAGCCGCCTCCTGCACACTCCCCACTGGGGATGTGCCCGCAACCAAGGTGCATGCCCTTGACCGGAATCGAACCCGGGACCCTTCAGTCCGCAGGCCGATGCTCTATCCACTGAGCCAAACCGGCCAGGGCTACCCCATTTCTTTATTAGGTTTCATACTCCTGTCCACCATCCCAACAGATGTGCATGTCCTAAGAGATGTGGACATCGATGTATACATACAACTCACCGTGTAACTACTAGGGACATAGCATAAAAAGTGTCCCAGGTTCGATTCTGGTCAAGGGCACATGCCTGGGTTGCAGGCTCGGTCCAACGTGCAGGAGGCAGCCAATCAATGATTCCCTCTCATCACTGATGTTTCTATCTCTCCCTTCCTCTCTGAAATATATATATATATATATATATATATATATATATATATATATATATATATATACTCACTATATAAATTCAAGGGACATAGTATAAAACAATGGGCACCATCACAATGCTGTCAGGACCTGGAAACGCAGAGAAGGAAGTGCAAGTCAAGAGGACAAACTCTTCTACTGCAAGAAGCCAACAGCGTGAACAAGAATCTTGCCTGGGAGACTGAACACGTGTGCATCCACAGGCAGGAGTCCTGCGGCGGAATAACATTTCCTTTTCCCCCCCAAAGAGCTCCGGCAAAACATGTTTCTGACAAAACATGTCAGAAAAAGCAAAACCAAAAAACAACAACTTCTCTTGCAACTCTCAGGAGTGTGATGGATGGCAAAACATGGCCAACCTGCAAAAAACAGGGTCTCCATTGCAAACATTCCCAGGAGCCATGAACTTCACCGGGAAGCAATGGCATCCTCTCCGCAGGGCGCGCAGCCCACCGCGGCACCCCCCCCCCCACGAGTCAGTGCGAACCAACAGCCCTGAACAAGGGGTGATTTTCAAAGCGAGTCGCGATCCCCCCGCAACCCGTGTCCCGAGTGCGGGCTGCCGCGGGCGGGCAGCGCGGCGGGGCCCGGGTCGGTTCCTGGGCAGGGCAGTGGGGTCCCCGGGGGCCAGGGCGCAACGGTTCCAGGCTCGGGGCTGACCCCCGAGGTGCAGAGGGTGGGGTCCCCCCTCCCGGCTCCCGGGGAGCCCACTGCCCAGGGCCCCGCACTGCCAGCTGCGCCCCCGCCCGACCTCCCCGAGCCGCGCGGGGGGTCCTCTCCGGGAGGCGCCTCCACGCGCGGCCTCCGGTGCCGCCACGGCCACGAGGGCGCGGGGAAGCCCGGCTCTTCCCGCCGGCCCCGCTCCGGCGGCGTCTCGGGCCGGGCGGCCGGGGGATGTTCTCGCGAGAGGAGCGGGCGCGGGGCGCCGCGGGTCGGGGGCGCGGGGAAGCCCGAGGCGAGGCCGGCGGGGCGGGCGGGCGCGCGGGCGGCGGGCAGGCCGGGGGCGCGGGGAAGCCGCTCCCGCCGCCGCGAGGCAGCCCTGACGTCAGGAGTTTTCCTCCAAGTCAACAACCGGCCCCGGCAGGGAGGGCGGGGGCGCGGGGGCGGCGGGGACCCCGGCGGGGCGCGCCCGGAGAGGAGGCCGGAGCCCCCGCCCCGCCGCGCGCCCGGGGCCGAGCCGCCCCGCCGCCCGCCCGCCGCGCCCGGCCCCCGCCCTGCGGGCCGCCGGCTGGACGGACGGGGCCGCCGACATCCGATTCCCAGCGAGTCCCCGCCTCCTCCTCCCCCGCCCGCCGCCTCCCGCGCCAGCGCCGCGGCCCGGCCCGGCGGCTCCCTCCCCTCCCGCAGCCCCGCGCCTGCCCTCCCGCCGCACCGGGCTCCAGGGGGCCCGAGCTCTGCGGGGTGGGGGGAGGACAGGAGGGGAGGAGGAGGGAGGGGGGACCCCCGAGTCGCCCCCTCTCCTCCCCCCGCCCCCCCGGCTCCATCCTCCGCCGCCGCCCGAGCAGCTGCGGGGCCGCCGCCGCCGCCTTTGCAGGTAACAGCCACCGCCCCCCGCCCGCGCCCCCTCCCCCCGGGTCCCCTTCCTCGGACCCCGGCCCGGCCCCCTCGGGCGGGGGACTTGGGGGGTGGCGTGGCGGGGGCGCCGGGGTGGTCCCTGCGCCGGGGGCGGGGGCTGGGTCGGGAGGCTGGGGCGCGGGTGTGGGTGGGAAAGGCCGGGGATGCCCGGCGCGGGGACACGGGCCCCCCTCCCTTCCCGGGGGGAGCCGGGGGGCGGCGGCGCGCGGGGGGCCGGGGCAGGGTTCCCCGGCCTAGCGGTCCCGGCCGCGTCTGGGCTGCCCCGGCCCTGGCGCCTCCCGTCTCTGCGCAACTCCGCGCGCGCCCCCCCTCCAGGCTCCCCCCACCCCCCGGTCTCCCCGCCGGCCGCGCGGCGTGGGGAGGGGGCGCCCGCTGGGCCGGGGGCGGCGGCGAGGTTATGTAACGCGCGTGGAGCCCGTGGCGGCGTGTTTGGGTTGGGGGGAGGGGGCTGTCTGCGTGCGCCCCGCCCGGGCCGCCGTGCGCGTGGGGTGGGGTGGGGTGGGGTGGGGTGGGGTGGGTGCCGCCGAGGATGCACCGGCGTCCCCGGGGTCTCCTTCCTCCTCCACCCACCCGGCCGGCGGCGCGCGGGGAAGACGGCGCGGGCGGGTGGGGCGGGGTGGGTGGGTGGGTGGGGTGCGGGGGGCGGTGGGTGGCGTGCCCGCCCGTGTTTTCCATAGTAGCGGGGTTCGGTCCGCTGGGGAGTTGTGTGCTAAGAATAGAAATGTGCGGAAGATGCTGGGTTTGGCGGATCCAGTGATGCTGTCGCTGCTGCCGGCGGCGGCGGCTGGGCTGCAAGTAAACAAACCGGCCTCCCTCTCGTGCATCGCCTCCTGCGCATCGGTCTGCATCAGCCATGATGCCGGCGGGGCCCTTGGGAGCCCCGAGTGGAAACCTGGCCGGCGGCGGGGTGCGCCCCGGCTCCTTGGCGGGGTCACCCCGCGTTTGGGATTTCCCGGGAATCTGCGGGGAGGCCAGATTGCATCGCCCGGGCGTCGGGTTTCCAATGGCGATCGGGAGCGTGTCTCTTCTGCACGCAGAGGCGGTGCCTGCCTGCAGGTCAAGGGGAGGATGCGCCCTGGTCTCCCAGCAGCATCGTGTTAGGAAAAGCACCCCGACGCCTGCCTCCCGGGCGCCGATTGGTCCAGAGCCCAGTAGTTTGTAAGCTCCTAAGGTTCCTGCAAGGTAGAGAGTCCGCGGTGGACCTGATGGGTCTGCAGGCTAATTGCTGGCGTTAATAAAATGGTCACGCTTGCTACGGTCATCCCGAAGCTAACGGGTATGAAAGAATGGCTTTTTTTAATGCAGTTAGTACATTGCCAGCTGCCCCAAACCATCCATCGAGGTATGTGTGTGTGTCCCTTATTTGGGAAAGCGTGGTCCTGCAGCTCTTTAGTGCACTGCAGGTCATTAGGCAGTCACTGGGTTTCATTTTGGGTGGGATCCTTAAAGTAGATTGTACAGTTGTTAGGAAATCACTGAAAACACACACACACACACACACACACACACACAAAGGTGGAAGAGTCCAATAAAGATGGTTTAGGAAACTTAGTCTTCAGAACTTGAGTGTCATTGCAAAATATGTATAAGTGAACATGAATATTCCAAGAGGTGGTTGTCTAATACACATACACACACATACATACATTCACGACGTGGTTGTCTAAAACATGAACATATTTATTAAAGTACTTATTAATAAATTACTACTTTCCTGGGGTATCCGATTGAATGCACGCTTATTTGCATATATGCAGTTGTTCATGTGGAAAATAACACAATAATGAATAAGCACTCATACGAGAATAAATTTTCATGTATTCACAGCTGTACACCTACCTTTGCCCCGCAATTTTCTTTTTGACAAATATGCAATCTTAACTTTGAAAGTTTCCCAAGGAGATGGTACTGAAGATCTGCTTTTTGCTTTTCTCACCAGGTTGGCCCCACTATCCTTAATTGGCTTGAGCTTCTTTTTAAAGTGAGAGGAGAGCATATATCACATGAATGAGATGAAACTGGAATTAGATGAAGGTAGATTTTTTTTTTTTTTTTGGTTCAGCTATACGTATATTTCTCCTGTGTATTTGCGGTAGCATGTTTGCTTCCAGTGTAAAAAAAAAAAAACAACACCTAAAGTAACTGCAAAATAATTTGTGAAACTATTATTTGTATTCATTTTGTCCCAGACACTTAGCCTTTCTGTGATTTAGTGAATTCTTTTCCAACTTAAAAACTCATTTTTAATTTGCTATTGACCTAGTTTAAGTTGTGTTTGTCAGGGTACTTAAGGGGTTCTTCTCTGGGCGTTGTTGTTCATGTAAGTTTATGGCTGTAAAGTATTTTAAGTAAGGTTTCATTCCTTCAACAGATATTAGAATGCGAACTGTATGATAGGGGCTGGTTGATTGAGAACTTTATTTTACTTTTTATTCAGAAGTTCACATCCATTAGACAGAAAATTTGTTTCCAGATCACGGCGAATCTAAACATGTTTTGCTCAAACATGTCATCGGACAAATGTGCTTGTGAGCATAGAGTCTTGTGCAAAGTAAGGATTTAAGATTTTTGAAACTCTAGCTGTTGATTTAAATGTGAGAGGTTTTCTTTCTTGCAGAAATTCAGTGGAAATTTACAGCTATTTGGGTTTCTTTAAAAAGAGGAACCCGTTTTACAAATGGACTTTGTGGAAGTTTAGCGTTTACTTAAACTTTGCATATCTTTGTGAAAGGATAGCTACACTTTTTGTTGTTGTTGTTATACCTTTGAAGGTCAAGAGTTCACCCTTGGGAAGCTAAGGCAGTCCTTGTTAACTAGGTGTTAATTGCATTTTAGCATGATTTGATAGGATCTTGTTTTTAGAGTGTGATTAAGTTTCAACATTAAAAAATATTTCATTTGAAACCATTCAGAATTGAATAACAACATGCAAGACAGAAAAAGAAGCCATTCCATTTTTAAAATATTAAAACATTTTTTTAAAATTAAATTGGTGTCAACATGAACATAGATTTCAGGTGTGTTTTTCTGTTAGAAGCCATTTAATTTTGTTTTGACTAAATCAATCTTGTAATTTGACTTGCATTTTTCTTAAATTAATTTAAGAAATGCACATAATTAATTTTTATAGATTCGTTAGAATACGTAGATCATTTAAAATTGTTCCATTTTTAACTTCAGGTTTCAGAGTTCACATCAGTATTCCAAATCCTGGTTTCCTACAGCATGCATTGTTCTGTTATTTTGTTTTTTTTTAATATATTTTTATTGATTTTACAGAGGAAGGGAGAGGGAGAGAGCGATAGAAACATCAGTGATGAGAGAGACTCATTGATTAGTTGCCTCCTGCACGCTCCCTACTGGGGATCAAGCCTGCAACCCGGGCTCGTGCCCTTGATTGGAATTGAACCCGGGACCCTTCAGTCTTCAGGCCGATGTTCTATATCCACTGAGCTAAACCGGCCAGGGCGCGTGCACTTTCGGTAGTCTCCTGCAAAGATAGCCCTGAATCATCAGATGTTAACTTAATTATTTTATCATGGTCTTTCATGAGCTAGATTCAGTGCAGCGTTCATGCTAGCCAATGCCTGGTGAGCCCTTGCCATGTGCCAGGCACTGTTACATGTGGCCAGCATGTATGTATATATGCATTTAATCTTCATGACGACCCCTGCTACATTTTTGAAAGTGATTTTAACACGAGAAAACACTTACTCTGGTTTATAAAAATCCATCTTATTTTAACTTCCCTCATTCTGAAAACACTTTCTTTTAGTGTTTTTACTAACAGGTACCTGTTACAGAGTTCACAGTGACAATGCTAACTTTCCATAATGTAGTATAGCCGTTTTCCCAGAAATCAGGTTACTGTAGATTGACCCATAGCAACATCCTTTCTCATTTTAGTTATTTCAGATGCTGCATTAACTGCCTCAGATGTTTACGTATTTTACTGTAGCACCAGTGGATTAGATGTTCATATACTTCCTGTGCGGGGAATCTTCAAGTAGTAGTTGATAGAGAAATTGACATATGCCGAAACCGGTTTGGCTCAGTGGATAGAGCGTCGGCCTGCGGACTGAAAGGTCCCGGGTTCGATTCCGGTCAAAGGCATGTACCTTGGTTGCGGGCACATCCCCAGTGGGGAGTGTGCGGGAGGCAGCTGATCGATGTTTCTCTCTCATCGATGTTTCTAACTCTCTATCTCTCTCCTTTCCTCTCTGTAAAAAACTCAATAAAAATATATTTTAAAAAAAAAAAAAAAAGAAGAAGAGAAATTGACATATGCTTCTTGAGCCGTGGGTTTGCTTTTTTAGTTCCTTTTCTTTTCAACACTCTGTATATTTATTTAATGCCAACTGCACATATTTTACGCATCCAAATAGGTATTTTTTCCTAGTATTCAAAGGGAAAGGTAAAAAAAAAAAAATTGCTAGACCAGATCACGAGAAGACTTCCAAGTGAGAATTTCTCTCCCCTGAGTTAAGAAATCCTATGTTTGTGGGGCTGAGCATGGGAGAGGGAGGAAGATGGTCTTTCGTTAGGATTGGAGTTTAGTTCAGGCTTTGTCCGTGTGCAGTTGGTGTGTGAATGTTGTATCTTCCCAACTCTATTGGACTTTTGTGGGCAGGAACTGTATGGTCACAATATTGTTAACCAAGATGTCAGTTATAAGTGAAGTGGAGAGCAGATTTGAACTTGAAGAGTCATACATGTTGGCTCTGTAGGGCTATTTGGAGTTCACCCGATGCTCTCTATCTTTGTTTTTATGGCGAAGGAAATACAGGCACAGAGAGTTCAGGGACCAGCATCATCACTCTGGTGGGGCAGGTTGCAAAAAGGGACCCAAATGTTTTGGCTTGTCCGTTGCCCTTCGTAACATGCCATACCTGCACGTTAGCTCTCCCTTTAATTGGTGGTGAAAGGTCAAGCTGATTCTTGGCATGTAATGGAGCATGTACCAGCTGTGTTCCGTGTGTATGTGAACTCTTTTTCCATTTTATAACCAGAGAGGTCCCAGGACAGAGTTTGGAAGGATCTGACATGTGTATTGGGGAAGTATGGCCAACTGTGCAACAAAAATTCTTTTAGTAGCAGCCCTCCACCTGCCCCTGTTAGCATAGGTACCTGCACGTGGAGACAAGCCACAGTCTACAAGAGACGGGGAGGGGATAATTCATCCATGGCTTGCCCAGTGTTTTAGGACTCGGAAGGATCCAATAAGCGTTTTCCTAGTTGTTCCATATTAGAATATTAAATATATCGCCCAGCATAAGTGCTGTTCTTTTTTATCCTCACCTGATGATATGTTTATTGATTTGAGTGAGAGAGAGAGAGAAGAGAGAGAAGCATCTATCCGTTGTCTCCTGCATGTGCCCCAACTGGGGTGGGAGCCCCCAATCTAGGTATGTGCCCTGACCAGGAATCGAACCTGCAGCCTTTTTGGTGTAAGGAACGATGCTCCATCCAACTGAGCCACCTGGCTGGGGCACAGGATGCTTTTTTTTTTTTTAAATAGATTTTATTGAATTTTTACAGAGAGGAAGGGAGAGGGATAGAGAGTTAGAAACATCGATGAGAAACATCCATCAGCTGCCTCCTGCACACCCCCCAATGAGGATATGCCCGCAACCAAGGTGCATGCCCTTGACTGGAATCGAACCTGGGACCTTGAGGCCTCAGGCCGACGCTCTATCCACTGAGCCAAACCGGTCAGGGCACGGGATGCTTTTTTGATGAATAAGGGCTGTGTTGGTTGAAATGGCATTTAAATACCCTAAATGGGCGTGGGGAAGAGGGAGGAAATGCTTTATGTTTTTGTATGTATATTTCAAAGTTTGCAAAGTTGATTTTTAAGAATGGGCAATTTTGAAGAAGGGCTCTTTTGTGGGAAAGTCAGAAACTTGCCTGTGTTTTTGCAGGTATTTCCCCCATAATGTAAAGCTCAGCGAAGATATTTACAGAAAGACTTTTAAGAAAATCCAGTCAGAAGAGAGGAGAGGTATTCAAAATAGATCATTTGTGTGGCCCACTTCCCTATGTGTTATGTATTTTCACAGGATTATAACTCTTGAAAGGGACGGACTGGCTTTTAGAGTTACTTCAAGTGAGAGCAGGTTGCCTTGAATTTCACTCCCACTTCAGTCTTTTTCTTTTCCCTCAAATCCTTTGAAAAGTTTTGTAGAGCTTTTTGCACTGGTGGCATATATTAGTGTCACCTATTTCTTATGCATAGGTGACTACCATAAAATTACATTATGGTTACCCTTCTCAAGCATCGGTATTTCAGTGTAGCAGCCTTCTTATGTATTTGAACATGTTATCTTCATTAATGCAGTTTGACTAGCATCTGTAAAGTGCGTGAAATATGGTGGTGCAGAGCGAGTATATGCTACATAATATTAATGACAGCCCGGTTTATAGTTGAGGGAAAGTTGTATTACAGAATTGTATTGTGGCCTTTAACTTTGAAATGAACACCGGAAATTGTCAACCTATGTTAATGACAACCTTTATTTGTAAAAAAAAAAAAAAAGAGAATTGCTGAGTTGCCCTTTTAACTTTGTCACCCTGCTTCTCCTCGTCTGTCATAATTTCCTTTGTGATGCCACAGTGATATGTATTAATTTCTAATGTATTTGAGGGCATTGTGCTTCACTGGACTTCTGAAGAATAATTTGATCATGTTTTTGAGAGTTCACACCGACCTGATTGGAGACTTGAGTTGCATGTAGTCACTCTTGTTTCCTGTCACTAACTCGTTCTGGGAACTGTGGGGGAAATCATGTCATTATTGGTTGGTCACAGTTTTCCTAGAGAGCACATTAATAGCAGGTTATTGAAGGTTTGGAAACAGATTTTAAATACTTGGTTTTGCTTGTCTCCCTGTATACTTAATGTGGTCCCTGCCACAGAGTAGACAATCAATGCATATTTATTAACTGCGTATATGTATATTATATGTTTTATTGAGTGAATGATACTTTTACAGGATGTTTGAAGGAGTTTAATTTTTGCTTCGAATTGAATGGTTG